ATTAAAGATAGGCAGAAGACCTGCTGGAAGGACAATCATCTTGTGTTCTATATTGATAGACTTGTGCATTATTATCCTGCTTGTTTCAGAGAAGAGAAACAGGAACATAAAAGATATGAATACACTTCAAATGAGCAGCAGCATCTCTCTCAGTTCAAGCCCTAGGAGGCTTAAATGACTGAAAACATAAATCACTAAAACACTTCAGAGCAAGTTGTGATGACTCAGCTGAAAGTTATAGAAACAATGAGCTGAAAAGGCAGTAGGAACTGCACTGGCTCTGTCTGCAGCAGGAATTCCAACACATTTATGCACCTGTTAACTGCAATGGGAAAGGACGTATCTTAAGTATACCATAGCAAATACGGACATTTATTAGTAAGTAAATGCTGTTCAGTGAATCATATTCTGCAAGAATCTTTACAATGCAACTCAGGCATTTTAAAAATAAGGTTATTACAGCAGCGAGAGCATAGCTTTCCTGATGGCCCTGCTGCACTCATTCACACACAACAGGTGAAGACAGTCTGAAACATAAGCAATTTGGTTTTGTCGGAATTCACACACTACAGATCACCTACACGTCTACAGCTTCCAAATAGCACTAGTCCTTTTCCAAACTGGCTCCTGAAGGAGGTTTCAGATCCAGAGAGGCCTCACCTCAACATGCCATTGCTTTCCCAGCGCGTTGACCACTCGTCCCTCGATGGGCCTGCGGCAGGCCCCACAGATGGGGATCCCCATCTTGTCATGGCAGGGCAGGCAGTACAGTTCTCCCTTCAGCTCCCGGGCCTCGGCAGTCAGCTCCTTCCTGACAACACAAACATGCCCTGAAGCAAGAACACTAAGGGAAGCTCTTTAATGCCCAGGATGAAATTTTGGAAGACTAAACTGGAACATTAACTTAGGCAACATTCGTGCTACAAATGCAGTCATTAAGCTGGTGAAATACAATCATTGTCAACTCATCCTTCTCAAATTGCCTTCTCAGTTTGCCAGACAAGAACTTATGTAGAACATCATGTCTTCAGCTACACACCCTTGCAGAAATACAAAGCACACTTACACATGGAACAATGCAGTGCCATGCTAAGACCTGAGCTGTCTCTGAATGGGAGAGCTCAGGTACAAGGACTATTCTAGCAGTGCTCAACATTGAGTTACCTAATTGTACTGTTACCCAGTCTAGGGCTGTACTGTGCCCCAATTATACTGCCTGTGTGGCAAAGTAATTCAGGTCAGACAGCGTGGGAAAGGTCTGTGCCAGAACACTGACACAGCTCTTTTTTTTTTTTCTATCCAGGAATTCAAAATGAAACTATTCTGAATAGCCTGATAACTGCTATCTTTGGACAACACTACTATGGCAATCTGCACACAGTCTTTCAGGTAAGTTCAGCCTGATGAAATATTTTCATTATAAAGTAGTGTCATTCAAGGTTAGAATAAGAGAACAATGAATGGCAAAATAAAACTAAAGCTTCTGTAGGCTTTCCAAACTTATTTCGATTTCTCCTCACCCAATTTCTGTTTGTTCAACAATGTGAAGGCAACAAAGTTCAGGCCTTGGGAAGGACTGTGCTGCTGACTGAAGTGTTTGTCTCTTTTCTTTTTTGTCAGAGTTTACAGTATGAGAACATACCCACAGTGGGTGCAGTTGAAGTGATCTGGATGGTAGGAATCATTCCTAAACATCAGAGGCTGCTCATCAATTATCAAGTGGCACTTCTGACAGATGTACTTGCCCAGTCCCTTGGCTTTTTCACGGTTATGGCAGGGCCTGCACAGATGCCTGGTTGAACAAAGTAAAGGAAATAAAGTATTAAAAATGCTTTCTCTTAAAACAACATACAATGCATACTATAGGAAGTACTTTATTTAACACAAGTGTCAGACTAAACATAATTCACTTTGGTATCCAGTATTTCACACCAGTTGCACAGAGAGGAATATGTGGATAGAGCAGTCACAGAGCTGTATTTCCTTAGAATACTCCTTCAACATTCACGGATTTACATCCCATATCACATAGTTATTCTTCCAGGTATCCCTTCTAACACTTTAGATCTTATCCGAGAGCTGGGCAAGGAAAGGTGGCAGTGCCCTCTATTACTAACCATGGGATCCAAGCATAACAGAGGCATTACAGCACTGGGAGGGAGTCGAGGACAGAGAATAAAAAGCATTAAACCAAAGTGCATTGCTTGCATGCCTTTACCATGGCTGGGTTCATTAGTCTTCAACAGCCAGGACAAACAAGACACAATTGAATGCTGGCTCTTTGACATACAAATTCCTCTTAGTCCTAAGTTAAAGAAAATAAAGAACTATGCAATTTGCACTTTTGTGTGGTAAATGCAACTGTGCTCCTATCACATGTTCTAGAACACATTACAAGTACATCCCTGAACAGGTAGATAAAGCAAGTTCCTGGTAGAAAAACTCAGACAAAGGCATAAAAAAATTTGTGTAAAGGTTGATGGAACCCACCAGTTTTATCCCAATATTTAGGAGCTCTGAGGAGAAGCTGTTCAAGTTTACTTGCCTATTACCTAACCCTCCAGCTGCAACGCTGTGTGCTGGGAACAATTTATGATAAAACAAACATGGCAGAGAAATGACTTCTGTGGGTTGCTTTGTCCCAAAACTACCAAGCCTGCTTAATTCCTTTCACTGTATCACTGTGTCAAAACCTTGTTGAGATTTACAGGTGTCACATGAACGATGGGAGTTTAGACTTTTGCCTGTCAGTACCCCCAGGAAAGTCAAGACCTTGGTGTTTTGACAGTTGTAACGAGACCCTTCACCAACAGATTCACAAGGTTGGAGGGCACTTCAACCACCCTTTTAGGGGAAGTTCAACAGAGTCAAGACCCCTCAGCAGGCCCTGCCAAGGTGTTTTCCGCTGCCGGCAACTGCGAAGACTCACCTGAACAGTTCACAGAATAACCCTCTTTATGAACACAAATTGTGACACATTAATAAGGTTTGAAGGTTGTCGGAGACAGATTCTAACTGCAAAAATATGTTTTAAAGCAATCTACTGATACATATAGTAAGCAAGCACAAGCTCTGACACCAAGCAATCTACTAACATGCCATAGGGTGAGCACAAACACACGCTCTAGTCCTAAAAGCAGCATTTAACGACACAGAGTATCATTTTCACCCAAGGCATCCCTCTGGGGAGGGAAGAAGGTGGACTCAGTCCGTCAACTAATCCCAGCAGTTTCACTGAAGGTCTTCTCCCACTTTCCCCCCATCCCCAACTTACTTTTGTACTATTTTCTTTGTGTTTCGGTGAAGTTTGCATGGCTCTAGTCACAAATACCTTTTATTTCTGATTGGTGTACCTAATGGGAGGGGCAGCTGGTCACGGCTTGGCATCTGAGCAGGGGGTTCGCCATGGGAGTTGGCTTTAGCAGCAGAACATCTGGATTCTCCCTTATCAGACAGGTATTGTATGGTCTCAGTACCACAATGTTCTCCCATTCTGCTGGGATTTCAATGGAGGAGAGCTATGTAGTCTCCACTTTGTTCCACACTCCGTTATGTTTCTCTGAGCAGATGTTTACTGTTGTACTGGGGAGCATGTCTACCTCAGTCAACTCCAGGGAGTTGCAGCTGCTTTTTACCCTAGAATTCTGAATCTCCTCTAGATTTAACCCTATCCATCATCCCACAACAGGTCATTCTCAAAACAAAAGGAAAAGTTCAAATGCAAAGGGCAGATTTATGGATGAAGCAGTGTGTTCTTCCTCCAAAATTCTGCTGTGATGAATCACTTACCCTTAGATCTGTAAAATGGGGATAAGAATACAACACAGATGTTGTTGTGAGACCTCAAACACTTATGACCCTCAACTGGCAGGCGCCTGCCTAAGTGCTAAGTATCATTATTATTCTCTCAAAAATCTGAGTCCTCCTCTCAGCAACTGTCTCTGTCCAGGGCTGGAACTACTGTTTGCCCAGACAGAGTCCAGAAAAAGCAGACAGCACCCCATTATAGGGAAATATGCAGCTGTGCTCATCTCGGCATAAAGGCATCAATTTTATTCAGCACTGTCAAATGCAGAGTAATTATACAGGGCAGGACATGGGGACCCCGAAGCAAGTGTCCTGAAAGAGACCCCTCTCATTCAGCTGAATGAGATGCCTTCAGCCATTTGCACTGATAAACCATTATCAACCCCCTCCCCACTCACAAACCCTCTGCCCTCCCACAGACCCTCCTCTATTGCAAGCAAAGGGAAGTGTTGGACAGGCTAAGCTGTTGCCATAGCAGCCTCCCCTCTCCCTCTCCCCCTCCCCACTCCCACCATTATGGAATTATCCCATTCTGAAATGTCCTGTTGTGTCTATTAATACTAGATTTCCCACAAACAATGCTTCTCTCCACCCTCCTAAAATAATCAAGGGACTCCAAGGAGTCTGTGTTCACGGCTAGGAGTTCAGCAGCAGCCTTCAGTAAGCACCATGAATACTGGAATATTCATGCAGGATATTCGTATCTATACAGGCAGCAGCACCCCCAGTGCCAAGAGCTCAGCTGGGATGAAGACTGCTCCTCAGTGCTGAGGTCTCCTCTCCCCTGCTCTGTTGTGTGACTGAGCTGATAATGCACTATCAGAGCGAGGAGGACACTATATAGAGGACCTCCCTCTCCACCCTCAGCAACTCTGCAACTCTGCACTCTTTTGGAATCATCTCGGTTCTGCTTCTATTTGGTTTGCTGTCATCAGGAGGAGTTCCTTGAGACTTTCCCCAAAAGGACCCTATACTCCACCCACAGGACTGCACTGTAAAGAGGTAAGAGACACAGTTCTGTTAGAAGGGGCTTTAAGAGCTTTCTTCTTTCAGGAGCATTTTTTAGGAGCTTTCCTAATGTCGTTAGTCTTAGCCAGTGAGGAGCAAAGACACACATAATGAGATGGCTGAATATAATGTAAATGTCTGAACCTAAGAATAGGCAGTGTTTTTTGAATTTCAAAGGTTAATTTCCTTGTCTTTCTTTACATTGCTCTTTCAAAACAAAAAACTTTCCAAACTTTTGCACCTAATGTATATCCATTTGTGCCAGCTGTCTGGTATGTCCAGTGCTCTCTGACACTGCTCTGACGCTCACAAAAATGAAGTATTTCAGCTGAAAGGTGGTGGTCTCAGCAGGGAGTGATTTTCAGGAGAATAACTTCAGTCAGAAGCTGACTCTTTCTAATGAAGAGTACTCTGAGTGAAAGATAGGAGGCACTCCCATTTGACAAGACACTAAATCCATAATCATAACAACACACAAAACAGTGTAATCACAAACCAGAAACTACAATAGCTGGGGGCAAGAACAGGAATTTTTGATATCCACCACAAACCCTAACATAGAGGTCATATTTATCAGCAGTGGGTGTTCTAACAGAGCTCTGAACTAGCCAGGTAACTAACTTAGGGTGACCTAAAGATTTCTTCTGCTAGTTAATTGTTTCATTACTGACAGATGGAGCATCTGCTGTGAGAGTGATTGCATTATGTCCACACCGACAGCCTTGTGGATTGTTATCCTGCTTGTTTCTGAGCAGAAGAGAAACAGGGCATAAAATATGGTCAGTGTGCATACACTTGGAATGAGCAGTGACATTCCCATTGCAGCTCAGCCCTGGGAGGCCTGGGATAATTGGCCCTTCCAGAATAGTGCTCTGTTTAGCAACACATAAATCACTAAATATTCACACAACACCAAGAGCGCAATCCAAGCGGAAATTATTGGATAATGAGCCAGACTCCTAAAGGAGTTTGTGAAGTCACAGCCTCTTGCACTATATAGCTTAACACAAATTACACATTCTAGGTGATTTGGCAAGGTTTCTAGTTTGCTCCTAGCATTTATACAGACTGGTACGACAGGCTTTCTAGGACTCCCAGTGCTTTTTTTTGTAAGCATAAAAATCCAAAAAGGAAGAAAGAAACCTAAAAACACTTATTTTAAATTGATAGGCTAAAACCAAGAAAAATAGAAGTGGAACTGCACATAACAGCAGGGGCTTTCAACACTGTCTACAGAACACACTGGTCAGAGAATGATTACTTTTATAAACTTGTAGCAGTTTGTTGAAAACATATAAATTCTAAAAATAAGATCAACAATTCATTCTACTGACATCGGCTTTTCCCCAACCTACTCAAGTGCTACACCACAGTTTTCACCCAGTAAGCACAATTGTAAAATACATAAAAGCTTTAATTAACATTTCCTTCTAATTTAAAATATAAACAAAATTAGAAGGAGGACCACTTCCCTTTTCTATGATTTCTAATCAGATAGTGAAAAATATCTTCCTTCACCTTGCTCTCAAAAGTAAATTGGGTAAGAGCAGCTCTCCTATGAAGGCACTCATTTGCAAAGACTGAATTTATTTCAATTTTATCAGTAGTTCTAGGCCTCTCTCTTCCTGATGCTGACATAGTGGGCTTCTTAGATAGCTCTGACATTCTCCTTTTTACTCCACCCCACAACACTTTGCACTGAAAGCCATGTCTGGATAGAAATTCATGGCAGACCCAGTGCTGCCATCAGTGAGGATTAAACTCTCAACTTTCAAGTCTTGCCTATTCCAAGTCTGGCACCGAAACTCAGCTGAGTCTGAATCCCCAAGATCCTCCTTAGGAACTCGGCTCAAACAGAATCAGTTCCATGTATCACACTACTAAACCTCTAATAAGCTTGCAAAGAGGGAAAACTCTGCTCACTGCTTCTCTTCCTGAACTGATTTAAATCATTTCAATAAGAGCCATCCCAGTCTG